TAATAACATAAAGATGCATAAAGACATCTAAGAAATGAGTGTAGACTTATCCTGATGACTTAAATACAAACCTTTATGGAGAAGTGCAACAATTTCATTCTTACATGAGAACTAAGTTTACAAATTCAGGAACGACACATTTTACTCATGGAGACATGTATGATTCCATAATATAAGATAAAATGCAATGTGTCTTTCACAACGTCGAAATTGTATTCCCTTATTTCTAACTTTAATGATCACAAACTGCACAACAGTTTCAGTGTTTAGAGTCCTCACGTGTCTTGATCTGGCTTTGTCCTGATGCATGTCACAATCTAAATGAACCCTGAAAACATCATGTTGAGTGAAATGTCACAAAAGGACATATATGATATTACCTATATGAAATAAACAAATTTGCAGAAACCATTCAAATCAGGCTGCTAACCTCAAGGTCAGCAATTCAAAACTACCATTTGTTCCTTGGCAAAAAGAGGAAGCTTCCTGTTCCCATAAAGATTACAGACTCAGAAATCTTATACAGGGTCGCTATGAGTCAGGACCGACTCCATGGCACATAACCACCACTACCAACATTCATACTTTGCATGATAGGATTTTGCAAGACCAACAACCTATTTTCAGAATGACCTTTTCAACAACATAAATGGCAACTGTACAGGTGGACATCAATGGACGGAATACACAGGAATCAAGTCACCTACATCTGTGGAAAGAGTTGATAGAGAAGGTCAATATCATCATTCAGAACAAGGCCAAGGGTCCACTGTCCAACAGTTCATATACAATTCAAGCTAAAGCTGAAGAAAATGAAAGCAACTCTTTGAAGAGCCAAAGTATGACCTTGAGTCCATCCCACTTGAATTTAGAGACAGTCTCAAGAATTTAACACATTGAACACTAATGACCAAAGATCAGACAAGTTGTGCAATGACATCAAGGACATCATACATGAAGAAAGCAAAAGGTCATTTAAAAAAACAGGAAAAAGAGAAATTACCAAAATGGATGTCAGAAGAGGTTCTGAAATTTGCTCTTGAACATACAGTAGCCAAAGTAAATGGAAGGAACAGAGATTTCAAAGGGCAACTCAAGAAGACATAGTAAAATATTGTAATGAAATGTGTAAAGACTTGCGGTTACAAAATCAAAAGGGAAGAACGCATTCAGCATCTCTTAAGCTAAAAGAACTGAAGAAAATAATTCAAGCCTTGAGTTGTAATACTGAAGGCTTCTGTGAGCAAAATATTGAATAATGTGGGAACCATCATTATACCAATAATAATTTATTGGCATTCAGCTATTTCAAAAGGTAGCATATGGCTCATGAGAGGCCATCTAAGTTCCAACTATTGTACTATCCCTGTCTGAAGGAACAGAGTTGTTGTTAAGTGCTGTCAAATCTGTTCCTATCTATAGTGTCCCTGTGTGTAGTGTTCTGTTGAGGAGCTGCAGGGGGCATTGAACTGTGGGCTAATGATTGTTGGAAACAATTATTCCAATGGACTAATGGATCACGTGAACATCAGTCTCCATAACCTGAGGCCAGAAGAACTAGATGGTGCCCAGGTACCATTGCAAACTTCTCTAAAAGGGATCACATTAGGTCAACAATTTGAGATTAAAAGGGCAGCCTTTACTCAAGGACAAAGTTCAGAAGGGTTGGGAAAGAAAAACGAGTAGAAAGGAGAAACACAGGGATAAAATGGGGTAGTGATGTTAGTGACATCAATGTGATTACAATTATTGAGATCAAATGGAGTGTGTATGATTTGTTGAATGTAAAACTAATGATATGCTCTACAAACCTTCACTCAATTCATAATAAAACATTCAGTATATATAAAAAAAAAAAGGTAGCATATGATCAAGAAGCAATCATATTGAAGGAAGAAGTCCAAACTGTCCTGAAGTCACTGGCAAAAAACAAGGCTCCAGGAATTGATAACATACCACTTGGGATGCTTCAACAAATGAATGCAGTACTGGAAGTGCTCACTCATTTATGACAAGAAATCTGGAAGACAGCTACTTGTCCAACTAACTGGAAGAGATCTATATTTGTGCCCATTCCAAAGAAATGTGATCCAACAGAATGTGGGAATTACCAAACAATATCATTAACATCATACACAAGTAAAATTTTGCTGAAGAGAATTTAAAAACCATTTTAGCAGTGCATCAACAAGAAACTGCCAGAAATTTAAACTATATTTAGAAGAGGATGTGGAACTAGGAATATCACTGTGGATGTCAGATGAATTTGGGCTGAAAGTTGAGAATACCAGAAAGATATTTATCTGTGTTTTATTGGCTATGCAAAGGCATTAAGTTGGGTGGATTATAGCAAATTATGGGTAACATTGAAAAGAATTGGAATTCCAGAACACTTCATTGTAACTTGTACATAGACCAAGAACCAGCTGTTAAAATGAACAAGGGGATAGTGCATGGTTCAAAATAGGAAAAGATGTGCATCAGAGTTGTATCCTTTTACCATTCTTATTCAGTTTGAGAAACTGGACTATATGAAGAAGAAATGTGACAGCAGGTTTGGAGGAAGACTCATTAACAACCTACTTTGATACGCAGATGACACAACTTTGCCTGCTGGAAGAGAAGAGGACTTGAAGCACTTACTGATAAAGATCAAAGACTACAGCCTTCAGTATGAGTTATGCCTCACATAATGAAAATAAACCAAAATTTTAAAAAATTGAAACCATGAAGGAACGACACCTTACTCCAAGAAGGCAGTTATTTCAGCATCCAGTTCATCTAAGATTGCAATGCTTAGTCATGCAACAAATGTTTTGATATTGTCTTAGTTATTAAATGCTGCTCTAACAAAAATACTAAAAGTAATTGACTTTAACAAATATATTTATTCTGTCACACTTTAGGAGGCTACAAGTCCAAATTCAGAATGCTGTCTCTGTGGGAAGGCTTTCTCTCTGTGGAGAAATCTCCTTGTGTCATTTCAATATCTGTGGGCCTAAAATTCCTAGGAGATCTTCATGTGTCTTGGCATCAGCCTTCTCCTGGACTAGGAGGCTCACAACACAGACATCCTGTGTCCAAACAGTATGCTCTGCTCCTGGCTCTTCCTGGTAGTAGGTCCCTGTCTCTCTGTTCTTTTATCTCTTTTAAGATAAAAGGTGTTGCAGGTTATACCCCCAAGAAAACTGCCCTTACAGCTGATCGGAGCTGTTACAGGATTAAGGGTATTGCATCCCACCCTTAATCCTTTTATCAGTTTATCACATCAGATCACCTCATGACTGATGATTACGTATCTGCCACATTACATCATAACTTAACTTCTAAATCACTGAGAATCATGGCCCAGTGAAGTTGACACATGTTTTGGGGAGACATAGCTCAACCCATGATGTTAAGTGCCATCAAGTTGTGTCTGACTCATAGCTACCTTGTATAAGGGTTTGAACAGCTGTCCTTGTGGTTAACAGTCAAACGCTTATCAGTCCAGCGCTTATCCTACACTTTTACACCAGGATGGTGGTGGTGATGTGCCATGGAGTCAGTTCCAACTCATAGTGACCCTGTACAGGGTTTCCAAGGTTGTAAATCTTTACGGGAGCAAAAAGCCTCATCTTTCTTCCGCTGAACAGCTGGTAGTTTCGAACTGTTGACCTTGAGGTTTGCACCCCGATTCATAACCACTATGCTACCAGAGGTCCTTCTACACCATGATGATGGTATTGGTGGTGATATGCTGTGGAGTCAGTTCTGACTCATAGCGACCCTGCACAGGGTTTCTGAGGCTGTAAATCTTTATGGGAGCAGAATGCCTCATCTTTCTCCCATGGAACAGCTGGTAGTTTCGAACTAGCTAGACTTTGAGGTTAGCAGCCTGACTTGTAATCACTACGCTACCAGAGCTCCAGCTATATACCAGGATAGGAGCTACAAAAATAAAAGCAAGAAAAAGAAAGTCCACACAACTGGATCAATAAACATCATGATAAACAGAAAAAAGCCTGAAGTTGTCAAGGATTTCATTTTACTTACATACACAATCAACACCCAGGGAAGCAAAAGTCAAGAAATAAAACAACATACTGTGGTGGGCAAATCTGGCTGCAATAGACCTTTTAAAATGTTAAGAAGCAAAGATGTCACTTTGAGGATTAAGGTTCATCTGATTCATGTGTTTTAAATCACCTTATATCAACGTCACTTAACAACGACAATGCTTATGAAAGCTAGAAACTGAATAAGGTAGACAGAAGAATTGATGTCTTTGAATTATGATGTTGGCAAAGAATATTGAATATACTGTGGACTACCAGAAGAGCAAACAGATTTGTCTTGGAAAAGTATGGCAGAAACACTCCTTAGAAGTGAGGATGTTGAGTCTTCATCTCATGTACTTTGGACATAATATCAGGTGGAACCAATACCTGAAAAATGACATCCATGTCATTTTAAAGTAAAAAATCAGAGAAAAAGAGGAAGACCTTCAATGAGATGGATTAGCAAGTATCTGCTACAATGAGCTCTAACATAGCAATGATTTGTGACGATGGCACAGGATCAGGCAAAGTTCCATTCTGATATACACACGATCACTATGACTCAGAACTAACTCAACGGCGCCTAACTACAACAACAACTACATAGAAACCTAAGATTATGAGCGGTTTTCAGATGTGGAAAGGGGGTGGGGGACTTTTGTTTTAGAGGACATTGACTTTATGTTAATGATGGTGGAATAAGTTGGAAATAACAAGTAATAATGGTTATACAATATGAATAATGTAATCAATGTTACTGAATTATATGTAGAAGTTGTTGACTTGTTGAATGTTTTATTATATACGTTTCTACCACATTTTTTTTTTTTAAATATAATTGTCATTCCCCCCAAATGAGGGCCCTCCCTGAAGAGGATTCCTATGGATGACCAAGCAGTCAGAAAATGGAGGGGGTGACTATGGTAGAGGACAGCTTAACCCTCTGTCTTTCCCACCCAGTGCAGTCCCTGGAAGAAGAATGCCTGCTGCTTTGTGAATACCAGCCAGGAGCTGCACAAGGATACCTCTCTCCTCTACAAATTCAACTGGAACCACTGTGGCAAATTGGAGCCCAGCTGCAAGCGTCACTTCATCCAGGACACCTGTCTCTATGAGTGCTCCCCCAATCTAGGACCCTGGATCCATCAGGTATACGCACCATCCCCACAAATATGCATCATGGCCATTGAAGGGAGGGAGTAGTCTGAGGGTTATGGAGGCACTGCCTTGGCCCCCAACCCTGGTCTTCTTCAACTCTGCTACTGAGACCCCTAGTTGACAGGGGCTCTTCTTCCTCCCCACCTCACCCAGGTGGACCAGAGCTGGCGCAAAGAGCGTTTCCTGAATGTGCCTCTGTGCAAAGAGGACTGTCAGAGCTGGTGGGAGGACTGCCGCACCTCTTACACCTGCAAGACCAACTGGCAGAAAGGCTGGAACTGGACCTCAGGTGAAGGCCTGTGGGGAAGGAGATGGGAAATGGAAGTAGTGATTCTAATTGGAGTTGGGAAAGATGAAGTCTAGCCCAGAAGCTAAGTGCCTTTGTTTCCCTTAGGGATTAATGAGTGTCCAGTCAGGGCCGCCTGCCATACATTTGAGTTCTACTTCCCCACACCTGCTGCCCTGTGTGAGGGCCTCTGGAATCACTCCTACAAGGTCAGCAACTACAGTCGAGGGAGTGGCCGCTGCATCCAGATGTGGTTTGACCTGGCCCACGGTAACCCCAATGAAAAGGTGGCAAGGTTCTATGCTGAGGCCATGAGTATGGCTGAACCCCATGAGAATGGGCCCTTCTTGCTCTGCTTGGTCCTGATGCTGCTGTGGTTCCTGAGCTGAGCTGCTTCCGGTGCTGACCCCTGGATATGTGATCAGCTGAACCCTGACATATCCTTGTCTTTACCCAAACAGGGTACCTAGGCTCAACTTTCCCAGCCTCACAATCAGTTCAGTCTGTGTCCTGGTCATTGGTTTGTTACAGAAGGTGGGACCCCTGAGGTTCTTCTGACAATTTATTATAATATAATCATTGCTACATAATATCCATTTGGGTAATATCTGACCACATGTATGTTCGTGGTCCCAACTCCTGCAAAGCCTAATTATATTAAATGTTCATGATTCAATTATATTCCACTTTGACTTTTTTGTTGATACTGTGTTTTCAATAATGGAAGGCATACTGAATCAAGGAGCATTTCTGAAATTTAAAAATTAAATATGGATTTCCATACATTTCCATGTAATACATATCTCCCTCTGGACTCTGGGGACAGAATTATGTGGGGCACCTGTGTCCCTCTGGTTTCTGTCTATATCCCTTCATAGGTGCAGACAATATAGTCACAGGAATCTGGAATCATTACAAGAAAAGCCAATTCCAATTAACACAAAGGAACCAGGAAATATACTTACAAGGCTTATATCCCAGTAAACATGTCAAAAGATACAAAAATTTTATACAATCATAACAAGATGCACCACCTCATCCCACATCCTGTAGTAATCTGTGGCACAAAGCCCCAGTTTTTTTCTGTTTCAAATAGTTATACAGGCCTTGGTCTGCTGGAAGCATGTTACTTTCAGTGGGAAACCAGTATTCCAATAAACTCCAGACATGAAAAATGTATGTGGGCATTATATATCCAATAAACCCCAGACATGAACAGATAAAAAATTTGAGGTACATACAATGTTTCATAAAAACAAACAGGTACTACTTCATGACATGCATCAAAACATTTTTATCATGCCTATTATTGGATTACTGATGTGGCGCGATGGGTTAATGAACTAGACTGCAAAGTCGATTTGAACACAAGGTAGGCAGTTCAAAGTCACCAGCTACTCTCTGGAAACGCTATAAAGGGTTGCTATGAATTGGAACCAACTGGACAGTACTTAACAACAACAACATTATTAACAGTGTTAAAGATGTTTTAGTGTATCTGGAGGTACTTCTTTAATTTTTTATGCATCGCAAAGTACGCTATAGAGTAAGACAAACATTTGAGTAACTGATGTTAGATGTAAGTCATATCTAGCTATTCTAATTTATGTATGTACAAATATGACTTAAAAGTCAGATTTAGGAAGAGAACTAGTTTGTAATCTGAGGATGGCCTGTGTATAATATGGTGTTCACACAACGTTCAAATCCTGTTTCACAGAACACGACATGACTGTTAAGTAACATAGGACTATACACAGATCCACATGTGTCTTGTAAAGAATTTGGGGATGAGTGGGTAGGAGGAACCTGACTCATTGCTTCATCATTCCTACTGAGAAGTCCAAAGAGAGACTGAAACTAACCTGAAGTTCACCAGCAATTAGGGGGTGGAAGAGGAATGAGAATCCTTTAACCTGGGCCTCTGACCCCTGCACCTGGTTGTCCACATGCCAAGGTCACTACTCGCAAACCACAAAGAACTGGTGGAGGAGCTACTGGGTGTGGCGTTGTGGGCTAATGCGCTGGACTGCAAGGTTGGTGGTTCAAATTCACCAGCCACTCCTTGGAAACCCTATATAGGGTCACTACGAGTTGGAACTGACTCGATGGCACTTAACAACAATAAGGGGAAAACATTTCTTTCTCCTTCCCTTACTAGATGTGGGGTGGAGTAGACACTGATGGTGACTGAATGATGAACACTTTTATTGTTTCCTTTTTTAAAATAAAACTTGTTATTCTTGGAGGGTAAATTCCCAGAAGAGGGGTTGGTGAGTGACGGTCAAAGAGTGAATGGATTTAGAATTCCCCACCTATGGAATGGCAATCCAACCACCCACTGACAGACTTTGGAAGCTAAAACCATTGGACCTCAATGTTCCTATCTGTGTGCTGTCTATCCTTCTTGCTTCTCAAATTTCTTCATAATGTCATACCATGCAATCTATTGAAAATGATGTGTAAAGTGTAAATGCTCTTGAAAGCTAGTCATGTGCCAGGCAATAAACCAGACATTTTATCATATAAGGAAACTAGGCTTCTCCTTGCTCCCTCCCCCAAACCTTACACAGTATTTTATCAATCCCAACTCATTGCTTCTATTTGGGAGGCTCCCGCTTTCTTTCCATCCCTGGAGCCCATCCCTTCATTGCCCTAGATATCACCCAGAGTATATCTCTCCTGAATTACTTACCAAACTAAAACAAGAAAAAACACAGTTACTGTCAAGTTGACTCTGACTCATGGAGACCCCATGTATACAGAGTAGAATTACACTCCCTAGGATTTCCATGTTTTATCTTTCAGAGGCAGACCGCCAGACTTTTGTTTTGAGACTCCTCTGGGGAAATTTGAACCATCAACCTTTCATTTAGCAGCCCAGCACTTCAGTTAGTAGTAACACTCCCCTCCTCCCCACCGCAAACCAATCAGAAACACATTGTCTTTGATTGAATCCTGACTCAAAGAGCTCCTATAGGATAGGACAGAACTGCCCCAAAGGTTTTCCAAGGCTGTAAGTGGACTGCCGGTGCTCCCAAGGAGTGGCTGGTGGGTTTGAACCGCCAAGCTTTCAGTTAGCTGAACTTTAACCACTGAGCCACCAGGGATCCTTTGTGCCACCCAGGGACTACAAATTACTCACCAAGAAAGATTCTTTCTGCCTTCCAGAGTGATCTTTTGGTGCTGCAAATCTCTTAAAGCCACTTCCCTAATATGGTTCACTGCCTTTACATCTTAGCTAGACAGAAACTGCCCCTGTCCCTAGTCTCCCTCTCTCCCTCCCTTCACCCCACACATTCCTAGAACCTGCCATTAACCTCCCTTTAGATCGCAAGGTCAGTTTGAACAAGATTGGCAGTTTGAACTCACCAGTCATTCCTTGGAAACCCTATGCAGAGTCGCTGTGAGCTGGATGATACTTAACAACAACCATCTCCTAACCTTTGTGTTTGCAGATCCCTTCATCTGGCAATGTCTACTAAGGGATTAGAGCTAGCTGTACCTCTTTTCTAGAATGTGTTTATACTCTTGATAGTTACAACTTGACAGAGATTGGATCCTTCTGGCCTCTTCCCAGCAATGTCTAAGAGTTGCCTGTTTGCCCACAGTTATTATACTTGTTGCTGTTGTTAAGTGCTGTCGAGTTGCTTCCAACTCATAGCAACTCTGTACAGAGTTTCCAAGCTGGTGGATTTGAACTGCTGACCCTGTGGTTCACAGTCCAGTGCTGATCTTACAGTGCCACGCCAGAAGTTCACAGTAATACTGTTGTTGTTGTTAAGTACCGTGGAGTCGGTTCTGACTCATAGTGACCCTGCACAGGGTTTCCGAGGCTGCAAATCTTTACAGGAGCAGAAAAATCTCATCATTCTCCCATGGAACAGCTTGTAGTTTCGAACTGCTGACCTTGAGGTTAGCAGCCCTATTCGTAACCACTATGCTACCAGAGCTCCTTACAGTAATACTAGTGCATGTATAAAACAGAGGTAAACTTCGGGACTTTTACTAAGCAGATAAATGGAAAAAGGGACATTGACATCTCAATGTAATTTTCATTTTCCAGGTGTCTTTTTATGAGTTTGCTCTTTCTGAGATCTTTCCATATTGATCTGTTGAGATCTATAATAGCTGGGTAATATTCCCGTCTATGTATTTGCCACATTTTATTCAGTTCCCCTACTGGTAGATTCTTGAATAATAGGAGTTCTTTATGACCTTGACATTTTAAAAAATTGCAAATGAGCTATTTTGCTAAATATTCCTTAGTTTGGGTTGATCTGTTTCCTCATGATTAGATTTTTGGCACAAATACCCCAATAGTAATGCTGTGTCCTTCTTGATGCCTTCTAATAGGAAGCATGTAACATTGGCTTTTCCTATTCCTGGTGATGTTAGCTGTTTTCTTTCTGTTGAGATGGTGTCTGCCAGGTTTCTTCATTACTCTTTTCTCCTTTGTAATTAATAAGTATTTGATAGGGAGATCTTTTCAGAATTGTAGATATTAATTCCTCAACAAATTTACACGTGGGTTTTACTACCTGATGGGCATTTTTCAAAAAGTAAAACAAAACTCCCAAATGTCTTATTATGTGATGTCTCCCTCTGCAAACTTTTGATGCTTTCCCATAGCATTTGTTCTGAAAACCAGACTTCTTCAAAGGTACAGAAGACCCTGCCCCACCTGTTAGATCTCATTCCAAATAACCACCCTATAACCCCTGCTCCAATTTCCATATATGAGTTCTAGTCAAACTTCCTACCTTGAGGCATTTGTTCCAGCAATTCCCTCTTCCTGGGCCTGGAATGGAGTTCCTGGGTGGTTCACATAGTTAATGCACTCATATGACTAATTGAGTCCTGGTGTGGTGCTGTGAGTTAGTGGGCAAACCTGCAAGGTAGGTTTGAACCACATGGTTGGCAGTTCAAGCTCACCAGCTGCTCCTCAAAGGCACTTAACAACAACAACTAATTGAAAGGTTAGAGGTTCAAATTAACCCAGTTTCTGTTGTTGTTAGTCACTTCCAACCTCTAAGCACCGTAAGGGTGAAACACTGTCTGATCCTACACCATCCTCACAGTTGTTGTTACATTTAAGCCCATTGCTTCTGTGACTGTGTCAGCCTAACTCATTGGGAGTCTTCCTCTTTTTCACTGACCTTCCACTTTATCAAGCACAATGTCCTTCTCCAGGGACTGGTCCCTCCTGATAATATGTCCTAAGTATGAGAGATAATGTCTCGTCATCCTAGCTTCTAAGGAGCACTCTGGTTGTACTTCTTCCAACACAGATTTGTTTGTTGTTCTGGCAGTCCATGGTACTTTTAATATTCTTCTCCAATACTATAACTCAAATGCATCAATTCTTTTATGGTCTGTCTTATTCATT